AGGAGGAGGAGGAGGAGGAGGAGGCGGACCACGACGACGACGACGACGATGAGGACGAGGACGCGGACGAGGAAGAGGAGGAGGAGGAGGAGGAGCAGGGAGGAGGAGGAGGAGGAGGAGGAGGAGGAGGAGGACGAGGAGGAGGGCGCCATCGACAGGGAAGGTGAGGGCCACGAGGTCCGCCGGCTCGACGCCCGCGTCGCCCGCGCCCGCCCCCTCACTCTTATCAGCGATTGCGGGGTCCAACGTAGCCGAGATTATTGTAAGCACGAGTGTGCTACAACTCGAACGCAGCAGATGGAAGGGGAAGAGGGACGACAGCGGCGGAGGCGATAACGTTTAGGAGGCGCCCAAGGCACGCGTCGGCGGCAGCTCGTGCGCCTTGGGGCGTCGCACAGCACGCAACGGAATGGTCGGTCGCGGAGGAGCAGGAGGAAGACGAGGAGGAGGGCGCAGGAGAGAGCCAGAGCAGCCGAGGTCCCCAGTAGATCGGGCGGGCGGTCATGGGAGGTGACCTACATGGGGAGTGAAGACAGGGACCCTGAAGGGTCCCTTCAGGGCGCTTTTCTTCACCCCCCATGCAGGTCACCCGCCATTATCGGGAAACGTAAGACTGAAGTGCACCGGAACTCGGGTTTGCCGACGCTTTTTGGCGAGCGCGTCCTGGATCTTGACGGTCCAATTTTCGTGGAACGTTTGCAGCGGGAGTTCGCGTCAAATTTCAGTTCGGGCCTTGTTGTCATCTTCATGATGGCCCCATCATGCAAACCGGAGTCCCCCGACCGAGCCTGAGTCTTACGTCTCCCCGACATTACGCGCCGGTCGTTGGAAGTAGATACCCAGATCCCAATTATTGAATGCGCCTTCCAGTACTTCAAGATTGAGTGTTATTTCCTTTCTCCTTCGTCTTCAGGGGGCGGGCGGAGGCCCAATCTACTTCCCACCCCTTCCGACTTCATGGATCTACCCACTTCTTCCGACCAGCGTGTACCACCCGCCCGAGAAGAGGCAGCCAGACCCCCCCCCGTCTTGAAACGCAACACGTACCGTTGTCAAAATGTCCGTGTCAAGATGTTGCGTGTTGGCTCGGCGCGTGTTGGCCCACGTTTTGGCGAAAGCACCGCGCCAGACCTACCCTTTCAGTCGACGTGTCGAGCTCAGTGTCGACACGCTACGTGCTGCAAGTTGCGCACCGGGGCAGCCAGGTACGTTTTCCCGACAGGACCACCCGCTCGAGAAGAGGTAGCCGGACCCCCCTCCCCTCCCCTGCCCCCGCGGCGCCGCGGGCCCGCTGCCACCCGGCGGCCAGGGGGCCCCGCCGGGCCCTCTGCTAAACTGGGCGGGAGGAGGGCGGCGCGGGCGCAGCAGCGGTTTCGTGCCACTGGCCAGCCGCTGAGTGCACATAGGGCTTGGGCGTTCTGCGGGATAGCCGATGGCTCAAGCAAGTGCGAAGCGGCCTGGCTCGCCGAAAGGCCCGCAAAAGGATATTCTAAGAGCCTTCTGTGGTCTGCACGAAATATTACTCGAACAGTTCTGGCTGCGATTGTCCTGTGTTCACACATCGGGCATGCGTTCTGAAACATGGTTTATGATCTTAGAGCATGTTCGGGTTCTAAGAACATATGGTGGTAGGCCTATGGGAATCCCAGGACGGTCGGTCCCTGCGCGAACATACAGCTTGGGTCTTCTGCGCGATAGCTGATAGCGGGAGATCCAAGTCCCAGAGTTGCGTATTGAGATGACCTTGGCTGTCTGTGTCCTTTCTTCGAGGTCTCCTGCAGAGGGCCATTCTGGGGCCTCCTGGGGCTCCGTTGGGTTTCCTGGGCCATCCTGACCGTATTGGCGCGTGCTGGCGCTCTCTTGTGCGCTTGCACGGTCAGGCAAGCCGTCTGAGAGGGCTCAATGTTCCGGTGCATTCCCTATGCCATTCAGAGCATCTCCAGCACCCCTTTGCCCCCCAAACCCTCTCGCGAAATCAACCGCTTTAGGGTGGGCTTGGAAGAGTCAGAACTCTCCAACGCTGGCACCGAGTGGTCAGCGGATTGACAGTTAGGTTGCAAGGTAACGTCCTCAGCTACAGTGCAGCAATCAGCGCATGCGAAAAGGGTGGACAATGGGAGCATGCGCTGATGTTGCTAAGCGAATTGTTGGGAGTTGACGTCGATCTTGACGTCGTCAGCTACAGTGCTGGAGTGAGCGCGTGCGAAAAAGGCGGGCAATGGCAACGCGCTTTATCTAAAGGCTGCTGCTTTTGCCGCCGACAGCTGGTGTCAACTGGGGGCTCCCGCGGCACGGAGCCCCTGACATGTTGGGCATGTTTCATTTCGGGCGGCAGCCGAGTTGCTGACGCTCCCCAATCGAGGGGTCTCGCCGAGGTGCCCCTCGCCGCCACAGGCGCCACTGTGCTCATAGAGCTTGGAACCGCCTTTCCTGCATAGTCCTGGATAGTCCTGCATAGTCCTCCTCCTCCTACTCCTCCTCCTCCTCCTCCTCTTCGCTCCTCGATCGGATTTTAATGCGTCGCAAACGATTGCAGCCCATAGGATTGCAATCGGTTGGAGTGGAATCGATCGGTGTACAAGCGATTGATTGCAATCGGTTGGATGGCAATTCGTTGGACTGCAATCGATGGGACTGCAATCGAGTGAACTGCGCCTGACCGGATAGCAGGAGGAAGAAGAAGAGCATGGGGAGGAAGAGAGCAATGACGAGGATGCCCTCCCACTCCGTCGGCGCGGAGGAGAAGGCGGAAGAAGAGGAGCAGGTTGAGGATGAGGAACAAAAAAGAACAGGGAGGAGGAGGACTCGGAAAAGGATGGTGAGGAGGAGAAGGAGGAAAAGAAGGAGAAGGATGATGATGATGATGAGGAGGAGGAGGAGGAGGAGAAGGAGGAGGAGGGGGAGAAGGAGGATTATCGAAACAATCGTTGGTTGAAGAGGTGGTGGTGCCAGGGGGGGTGGGGAGAATCCATATATATATATATACACATAGTTACATACACACATGCATACATACATATAGCCATATAAGCAGTTGCACATACATGCATGACTACAAGCATACATGTACACATGCATTGGTGTTTATGTCTGCATTGTATAGATATGTGGACACATGTGTTTATTAAACAGACACGTATACATGCATATACCTGTATATGTATATGCAGCAACGCAACAGAGCGCAGATTTGGAATCCTCCGTGCCCTCGAGTGTTTGTCATTGGGGCGGGCCCAACGATTGCCCTGCGGGCAAAACAGACCCTCGCAAGCACGAGATTTTGCGGATCGCGGATGGAGCGGAAGGTGGATGGCAGTTTTCGTAACAAAAAATTGATCATAAATGGTGAGGGCGTTTCGGGTTCAGTGACTTTTCGGGGGCTTCGGGGGCCTGCGCATCGGGACTCTAACGGTGCAGAATGCACTTGGCACCCCAGATGGTTCACAAATGATGGTACGATCGCCGGCTGCTGGGGCTGCGTGGTATAATCATGGCCACCAGGAGCTGAAGGCCACCCTTCTTCTCCTCCTCTCTCGCCTATTCGGTTCCCTCCTTTTCTTCACAAACAATTAACGATCGATTGCACACCCATACATTTACACACATACTTACACACATTTAAACTCACACATGCGTATATGTATTGTTGTGCGCACACACATCTGTATATATACCTATATATATGTATATACATACGGATATGATGTAGCACATACACACAACCATTCACGTGAAACACACGCGAGCCAAATTTCGCATTTCGGCTTCGCGCGGGGAGCAACCATCCAAGCATTACATGCTTGTTTTCCGTGGGCCTGGGAGAATGCGCACGCCGACGTTTGCAGCATTGTTCTTAGACCCTGATCCGCCGACCATGCTGTTTTTTTGTTTCTCTCTCTCCTTCTCTCTCTATATATATATGTATAAATGTATATATAACGCGCGGGTGCGCGAACAAGGATAAGACAATACGCGGCTGCCCATTTTTGGGGACAACGCGTGCGTTTCAACATAGATGCGCGGATCCCTCGTCTGGGAAGAACAGAACTCACAGGGCGTGTCGGGGGTCGGACCAGGTGGAAGCGTGGTGCGAGCACCTGGTGGGCGACCTGGTGGGGGTCAGGGTCGGTTCCGGGCCAGGCACTGCTGGGTGGGGGCCCAAAAACAAAGCTTCCAGGGCGGTGCGGGGTCGGACCAAATGGAGGCGTGGTGGGCACCTGGTGGGCGACTGGGTGGGGGTCGGGTCGGTTCGGCCAGAAATTGCCGGGTGGGGGGCCCAAGAACAGAGCTCCCAGAGCGGTGCCCAGGTCAAACGAGGTGGAGGCGCGGTTGGCACTTGGTGTGCGACCTGGTGCGGGGTCGGGGTCTGTTCTGGAGCCCCCCCAAAAAAGCTCCCAGGGCGGTGCGGGGGTCGGACCAGGTGGAGGCGTAGTGGGCACATGGTGGGCGTCCTGGTGGGGGGTCAGGATAGGTTCCAGGCCAGGAACTGTCTGGTGGCGGGCTCCAAGGGCAGAGCTCCGATGACGGTCAGGAGGCTGGGGGTGTCGGGCGTGGTGGGGGTCAGGGAGGGGGGCGGCTCAGGGCGAGGTGGGGACCTGGGGTCGGCGGATTCTTGATGCGCGAGTTGTGTGAAGCACATTTGGAATTGGACGTCGTCTGCTGCAGTGCTGGAATCAGCGCGTGCGAGAAAGGCGGGCAATGGCAGCAGGCCTTGTCACTGCTGAGGTGGATGATGGAGGCAAGGCTGGATCCCAACGTTGTGAGCTTCAACGCTGGAATGAGCGCGTGCGAGAAAAGTGGGCAGTGGGAGCGAGCGCTGTCGCTGCTTGAGGGCATGCTGGAAGTAAGTGTGGCAGCGACCGTTGCTAGCTATAACGCTGGGATCAGCGCGTGCGAGAAAGGTGGGCAATGGCAGCAAGCACTGGCCCTGCTGGGTCAGGTCTATGGTGGCCTTGCGGCCTTCTGCTCATCCGGCCATCGCGTCTGGATCGTGGGCAAGAGGCCTCTTGGATGACTCGTGGGGCCTGTTGGGGGGATGTTTGCTAGGAGCCCCGTTTTAAGCCTCTTGGGGCCTCCTGGGTTTTTCTTGATGCCTCTCGGGGCCGACTGGGGTCCTTTTGGCGGTTTCTGATAGGTCGGGGCCACCCCGGAGTCTGGTGGAGGGCTCACCATACTGGTTCGAGGTCCTTCTCTTGGCTTTCTCTTGGGCCCCTCTTGGAGCCTCGGGGGGCCCTCCTGGGTTTCTCGGGGGACCTCCTTGGCGGATCTTGAGGGCCTCTTGGGTCGTTTTGGATGCTCTTGCCGAGAAGGTGTGTGTGTGTGTATGTGTGTGAGTGTGTGTGTGTGTGTGTGTGTGTGTGTGTGTGTGTGTGTGTGTGTGTGTGTGTGTGTGTGTGTGTGTGTGTGTGGGGGGGTGCTTGTGTGCTTGTGTGCTTGTGTGTGTGTGCGTGTGCGTGTGCGTGTGTGTGTGTGTGTGTGTGCGTGAGTGTGCATGTGCGTGTGCGTGTGCGTGTGCGCGCGTATGCGTGTTTGTGTTTGTATGCGTGTGCTCTCGTATGTGTGTGTGTGTGTGTGAGTGTGCTTGTGTGCGTGTGTGCTTGTGTGCTTGTTTGTGTGTGTGCGCGTGCGTTTGTGTGTGCGTGTGCGTGTGGGTGTGGTTGTGTGCGCGCGTGTGTGTGAGAGAGAGAGAGTTTGTGTGTGTGTGTGAGCGGGTGTGTGTGTGTGCGTGTGTGTGTATGTCTGTTTGTGTGCGCGTGTGTGTGTGTGGTGTGTTCGCGTGTGCCGGAATCAGATGTATATTGCCCATGGTTTTAGCGCTTTGTTCTTGCCTCGGGGCTTCCAATTTGACCAAGGAACCGCCAAGAGAGCCCAAGCACGGACCTCTGAGACCAGGCCAAGGCATACTGGATGTTTTGGGTCCCCACCGCGCTGCCGAGGCCTCGGGGGAGATCACGCGGGGAGCATAGGGAACGCCTCGGAGCACCCAAGAGCTCGCAGCCATTCCGTGAGTGCGTTTCGATGTTGAGGGCTCTCCTGGGACCTGAAGACGCTCAATGCAGTGCATATGGCACGGTCGCGGATCTAAAGACACGTTGGAGCCAGATGTCATCAGTTTTAATGCCGGCATTAGTGCCTGCGAGAAAGGCAGACAGTGGCAATGGGCATTGTTATTATTGGACACGCTGTGCCGTTCTGATTTAGTGCTGGACGCCATCAGTTACAATGCTGGAATCAGCGCGTGCGAGAAAGGAGGACAGTGGCAATTGGCACTTGCGTTATTGAGCAAGCTTTGGGCAACGAGCTTGGACCCAGATGCTATCAGTTACAGTGCTGCGATCAGCGCGTGCGGGAATTCCGGCAGGTGGCAGCAAGCGTTGTCTTTAATTGGAAGTATGACTGCAGCCAAGGTGGAGCCGAACACTGTCAGTCTCAATGCAGGCATCAGCGCTTGCGAAAAAGGCGCACAGTGGCAGTATGCATTGGCTTTAATTGGGAAGCTGGAGGAGGTAACTTTGGAGCGAGATATTACCAGCTTTAGTGCTGGAATCAGCGCATGTGAGAAATGCGGGCAATGGCAACAGTCGTTGGCGTTGATGTCTGAGTTGCTGGCAGCAAGGTTAGAACCCAATGATGTCAGCTATAATGCTGCGATCAGCGCGTGTGGAGGAGGGCGTGAATGGCAGCAGGCGATGTCGTTGTTTACCATGTTACGGGAGGCAGGCATCGAACCGAACACCGTTACGTACAGCGCCGGAATCAGCGCGTGCGGGAAGGGTATCCAGTGGGAGTTGGCGCTATCTTTGCTTAAGGAGGCGTGCGAAATCCAAGTGAATGTGGACGCATCAGTGTATAATGCTGCGATTGGTGCTTGTGAGAAAGGTGGGACTTGGCAGGTAGCATTGTCTTTATTGCTGAACCTGCGTGATACGATGGTGAGGCTGGACGTCACTAGCTACACTGTTGGAATCACCGCGTGTGAGAGAGGCGCACAGTGGCAGCACGCTGTGTTTTTGTTGAGCGAAGCCTCGCAAGTGAAATTGGATCCAGACTTGTACAGCTATAGTGCTGCTGTCAGCGCGTGCGAGAAAGGTTTCGGGCAGTGGCAGCAGGCATTGTTATTGCTTGGGGACGCGAGGAAAGCGGGATTGAGATTAGACGCCATTTCTCCTTCAATACCAGAGGTGATGCACGATTTTGAGACCCGTTTCCCTCCACATCTGCACGCGTCGCGTATCCCAGCCAGCCACTCTGGAAACGGCTCCTAGGGGAGCCAGCGTCAGAACTGATGCGGGTAAGCAGTACTGGAACGTTGAGACCGGGCACAAGTCAAACATCGTGGCCGCCCGTCGTTTGGGCCTGGCTGTTGGCCTGGCGGCTTTGTGGCCACCATCGTCGCCCCGTCGCCGCCTCGTCACGGCTCCGTAGCCGCCTAGATTGTTTTGTGGAAAAAGAGAATGCAGATCCACCGTCCTCCCGAGGCCAGAGTCATCCTGCCCTCTGTGGGTGCGCAATGTACACATGATCCTGCCACATCGGCCATTTCAAATCCGATCTCCCACTTTTCCAGCCAGGCCGGCATCGACACCAATTTTCATCCCTTGCAACAAATATCAAGCGCGTACCTTTTGCATCTTCGCAGTCTTCTGTACTCAAGAATCCGTGGCCAACAAAGAACACGCGATGAAGTGCACGCGCGTGCGTGGTCGCGCACGCATGCCCATATTTGTACAAATCAGACGGCTTTCGTCAGGAATTCGAAATCGAGTCCTCGAAAACATAGAAAAACCGACGGTGTTGCAAACCGACTGTTGAACAAGAAGCAAAACTGCGCTTGCGTTCTGGCGATTTCTCATTGCCATCAACTGCTACCACACGTGCCTCTCGCGCGCGCGTATGTTATAATCATTCGAGCGTCCTTGCGCGCGTGCTGGGTGGGGGGTGCACGATACTTGCCAAAGAACACAATGACGGCCACTCGCGTGCGTCGACCGCGCGTGCATGTCGAAATCATTCGGGCACCTTTTTATTTTTTGTGTTTGTATCATCGTTTTGGTATTTCTTAAATATGCCTTGCCTGCGTTTTCTTACGATTTCTAGTGTCGTGGAAATCGTGCGGAACGGGGGGCGGCAGGAACGGGAACGCGGGAACGAAGACGGCAGCGAAGACACGGAGCAGCTAGTCACCAGAAACAAGCAACGGGAAACAACATGAGATCCACAGCGCCGCGCCTGCCAACGCTACAACTATAACTCCGTTGAGAACGCTTACAAAACGTAGCGTGCTTGGCGGTGTTAGCTTGCCAGGAGCCCAATGCGCAAAACGTAGACACGCCCAGGGCGCTTTTACGAAGAACCAATTTCATCACCGACGCGAGGGCACCATTTGGCCAGAATTTACTCTGCACTCGTTCGTCGCTCGTCGTGCCGCACGTCCGTCGCCGGCGCCCGCGCAACAGTTCCCTACCCCCTGGTCTACAGGTACTCTGCACTCATTCGTCATTCGCCGTGCCGCCCGTCCGTCGCTGGCGCCCGCGCAGCAGCCCGCCCCACCACCTCGCACACGCACAACTCTACTCGACGCCAGCAAACGACGAAAACGATGGCGTCGTCGTCGTCGCCGTCGCCCGCGCACGCACACGCCCTCGCAGGCACCTCCCGCCGTCGGCCGTTGTCACGCAGAAACAAACACCTGACGCGTTCGGCGCGAAACGCGCTGGGCCCTCCAAAAACACTCGGCGTGTTCGGCGCGAAACGCGCTGGGCCCCGAAGGAACACCTGGCGCGTTCCGAGCAAAACCCAAACTCCAGGATTTCGCGGGGGGGCTGACCGAAAGACCTGGCGCGTTCCGTGCGAGACCCCGCGCTCCCGGGGGTCTGGCGCCACACCACTGGGAGCGCAGGGGTCTCGCCTGCGAGGGTGTGAGGCCAGACCCCGCGGGATCTTGCGCGGAAGGCGCCAGACCTCTCTGGGGCGACACCGAAAGACTTGGCGCGTTCCACGCGACCCAGCGCTCCCAGGGGTCTGGCGCCACACCCCTGGGAGCGCGGCGTCTCGCGCGGAACGCGCCAGGCTTTTCAGGGGCGAGACCGACAGACCTGGCGCGTTAAGCGCGAGACCCTGCGCTCGCAAGGGTTTCGCGCGGAACGCGCCGGGTTTTTGAACCATTTGCGCGGCGGCAGGCTCTTTTGCGCAGCCCCAGTTCCCAGGTGGAAAACGTTTGCGATAATGATGTGCGCCAGCGTGGACCCGAAGCCAGGACTCACTGCGCTGTGGCTATGCAGGCTATGTGGTTTAACTCCTTCGGTGCAAGCTTTGTGGCGCAATCTACGTGGTGTTTTCTATATGGCGCAAGCTGCGCGGAGCAACATATGCGGCGCAAACTATGTAGTGCAAGCTTCGCTGTGCAAGCCAAGCGGCGCAGGCTTTGTGGTGCAAGCTACGGGGTGAACGCTACGTGGTGTAAAGTACTCGGCGCGATCAATGTGGCTTACAACGTGTGGGTTACAATTCGGGGTGCTATCTATCTTATGACGAAGGCATGTCGAGTACAAACTCGGATGAGGATACATCGAGAATCTCTGCTATCTGGCAGTTCTGGAGGATGTCTCGGGCGCCGAGGCCTCCTCAGAGCGAACTGGAACGCCGGGGAACGTATGTATGAGTGTCCTGGCCCCGCTCAGCATCTGTGTGGCATAAGACATGTGAGTGATGTAAGCTATGCGATGTAAGCTATGTTATGCCAGGTCCGTGCTTGCATTCATGTGGTGCATGTGGTGTAAAACACGCAGTGCGAAGGATGTGTGGTGCAAGCTATGTGGTGCACCCTGTGCAGTGCAAGCAAGGTGGCGCCGACGCTGACGTGTGTGGTGGAATTCCGCTTTTCCGAGCTTCGCACGTTGGCCCAGACAGAACTTGCCACGGGAAGCTCCTTCACCACGCCGATAGCGACCGCTTCGTTCACAACCCAGATTCGTGGAAGCCGGGTCGTGTGTATGAGATCCGTGGTCGCGCTCCTTCTCCTCCACCGCTGTGCTGTGCACGCTGCGCGTTGCAATTGTGCGGCCGCCAACTGGGCTCCCGGGCATCGGCGGCCCACGGGGCGCCTACAACCACCCAGCGCGAGCGGCGCCCACGAGGCGCCCGTCCACGCGCAGCTGCGGGCAGGCACAAGGCGAAACCTCGGCACACCTGCCCAGCGCGCGAGGCGCCCACGGGCGGGCGCCAGGCGAATCTTCGGGCGGGCGGCAACCGACCAACCAGGCACCAGGCGAAACCCTGGCGCACGCATCCAATTACCAAAGAACAAGAAGTACGAGTATTGAAAATCCACCGCTGTTTCAGGACAGGAACCCCCAGCGCGTTGAACCCTCCTGCCAGGGAGAGGGCAGAAGGACATGGAGTGGGAAAGGAGGGCGCAGGCGGGACGAGGAGGAGACGGAGGAGGATGACGACGGCGGGAGGCAGAGGGGAAGCGTCTGGAGCGTCCGGCGCCGGCAAGCCCATTCCATCGGGTCCAGCCCTTTCAAAGTGGGCCACCGGTCCCCTCCCAGGGTCCAAACGCACAAGTTTGTGGCCTTTCGGGGGCCTGCTCGTCGCCATTGCGGCATTGCGGGATGCAGCTCGGAAAACTGGTGCGGTTGTACAGGCCCAGAAGGTTTGGCCGTAGACTGCCTGAAGGGCGCCGTTCCCTCGCCCCGTCGCCATGCGAACCAGGTGGAGCTCCTTGTGGGGCCGCGAAACGCGCGAGGGGTGTCCCAACATGGGGCGGCGGCGCCATGCGAACTGCGCCACTGGGATCTCAGGTGGTGCGCCCTACGGGGCCACGAAGCGTGTGAGGGGTGTGCCAAAATAACTAGGGCGGCGGCGCCATGCGAACTGCGCCACTGGGACCTCAGGTGGAGCTCCTGCGGGGCCACGAAGCGTGTGAGGGATGTGCCAAAATGGGGCGGCGGCGCCATGCGAACTGCGCCACTGGGATCTCAGGTGGTGCGCCCTACGGGGCCACGAAGCGTGTGAGGGGTGTGCCAAAATAGGGCGGCGGCGCCATGCGAACTGCTCCACTGGGGCCTCAGGTGGAGCTGCCTGCGGGGCCACGAAGCGTGTGAGGGATGTGCCAAAATGGGGCGGCGCGCCATGCGAACTGCGCCACTGGGATCTCAGGTGGTGCGCCTGTGTGAGGGGTGTGCCAAAATAGGGCGGCGGCGCCATGCGAACTGCGCCACTGGGACAGGTGGAGCTGCCTGCGGGGCCACGAAGCGTGTGAGGGATGTGCCAAAATGGGGCGGCGGCGCCATGCGAACTGCGCCACTGGGATCTCAGGTGGTGCGCCCTACGGGGCCACGAAGCGTGTGAGGGGTGTGCCAAAATAGGGCGGCGGCGCCATGCGAACTGCGCCACTGGGACCTCAGGTGGAGCTGCCTGCGGGGCCACGAAGCGTGTGAGGGATGTGCCAAAATGGGGCGGCGGCGCCATGCGAACTGCGCCACTGGGATCTCAGGTGGTGCGCCCTACGGGGCCACGAAGCGTGTGAGGGGTGTGAGGCGGCGGCGCCATGCGAACTGCGCCACTGGAGGTGGTCTATGGGTCACGAAGGTGTGAGGGATGTGCCAAAATGGGGCGGCGGCGCCATGCGAACTGCGCCACTGGGATTCAGGTGGTGCGCCCTATGGGGCACGAACGTGTGAGGGGTGTGCCAAAATAGGGCGGCGGCGCCATGCGAACTGCGCCACTGGGACCTCAGGTGGAGCTGCCTGCGGGGCCACGAAGCGTGTGAGGGATGTGCCAAAATGGGGCGGCGGCGCCATGCGAACTGCGCCACTGGGATCTCAGGTGGTGCGCCCTACGGGGCCACGAAGCGTGTGAGGGGTGTGCCAAAATAGGGCGGCGGCGCCATGCGAACCGCGCCACTGGGACCTCAGGTGGAGCTCCTGTGGGGCCACGAAGCGTGTGAGGGATGTGCCAAAATGGGGCGGCGGCGCCATGCGAACTGCGCCACTGGGATCTCAGGTGGTGCGCCCTATGGGGTCACGAAGCGTGTGAGGGGTGTGCCAAAATAGGGCGGCGGCGCCATGCGAACTGCGCCACTGGGACCTCAGGTGGAGCTGCCTGCGGGGCCACGAAGCGTGTGAGGGATGTGCCAAAATGGGGCGGCGGCGCCATGCGAACTGCGCCACTGGGATCTCAGGTGGTGCGCCCTACGGGGCCACGAAGCGTGTGAGGGGTGTGCCAAAATAGGGCGGCGGCGCCATGCGAACTGCGCCACTGGGACCTCAGGTGGAGCTCCCTGTGGGGCCACGAAGAGTGTGAGGGATGTTCCAAAATGGGGCGGCGGCGCCATACGAATTGCGCCACTGGGACTTTAGGTGGAGCTCCTTGTGGAACCACGAAACGTGTGAGGGGTGTGCCAAAATGGGGCGGCGGCGCCATGCGAACTGCGCCACTGGGATCTCAGGTGGCGCGCCCTATGGGGCCACGGAACGTGTGAGGTGTATGCCAAAATGGGATGGCGGCGCCATGCGAACTGCGCCACTGGGACCTCAGGTGGAGCTCCCTGTGGGGCCACGAAACTGTGAGGGGTGTGCCAAAATGAGGCGCGGCACCATGCGGACTGCGTCACTGGGACCTTAGGTAGGGTCTCCCTATGGGGCCACGAAGCGCTGTGCTGGGTGGGTGAAACGCAAGGAGGAGGGAGGAGGGGGAGGAGGAGAGCAGGAGGAGGAGGAGGAGGAGGAGGAGGAGGAGGAGGAGGAGGAGGAGAGGAACGTGGGGCGCCGTCTCTTCAAAACGAGGACCCAACACCACAGGGTGGTTGGGACAAAGAGATTATACCACCATCACCCCCCCAGACTTCCGGTTGTTGGTTTCGCTTGTAATTCATATATTATCCTGGCCCATCGTCCATCCTACATATGAACTCACGCCATCCCAGCCAGGCCGGCGTCGACCCCCCCGCCTTCCTCGGCAACAGAGACTATGCGAGCATTGTCGTTTTCAAGAATTACCAGTTTGCAAAAACCCATTGCGACATATTGGACGAAGTACACACGCTCGCGTTGTCGAGCGCGCATGCTGGAACCCTTGAAAGAAAAACGTTTGGTTTCGCAAGGGCTTCACATTCGAGTGTCCCGAAAGCATATGCATCACGTGATTTTGCAACAAGAATGGTTGAACAAATGCCCCCCCGCGCTAACTGCGAATCTTTAGGACGACCGTATGTGTGTCAAAATGTTCATTAAATGCTTCCAGATTGGCCTCTCGCGCGCGCGTGTCGAAATCGTTCGAGCTTCCTTGCGCGTGTGCTATCGCAGGAATCCCTTGCAACAGGTGAGACGAAGTGAACGCGCGCGCGTCGTCGCGCGCGCATGCCGAACTCTTTCAGACACGTTTTGGTTTCGCAGAGATTTCGGCATCGAGTGCCCCGAAAACAAATCGAACACACGGTTTTGCATCATCAGTTTTTCCATAAAATCGTGCGCTCGCGCTTATGCGGGCTCTTAAAAGAACAATCGGCGCTTCGATGTTTTAAATAATGTTTGCCAAACGGGCCTCCCGCGCCGCAGATCGAACTCATTCGAGCGCCTGGCGTTCCTGTTGGGAGGAGGGGGGGCGCGATCCGTGTCAAATAATACTGCGAGGGCCACTCGCGCCGTCGGACGCGCGCGCATGTCGAACTCCTTTTAAAGCCTTCGTCACCGACACGAGGACATCGTCATCGTCATCGGTGGTCGCGATCAACCTGCCGCCGTCATCGCCGCCATCGTCACCATCGCCGCTGGTGTCATAACCGTGTCTACCGTTGTCGTCGTCGCCGTGATACCGCGCCCGCCAAAGTCACCGACGTGCACTCAAGTGCCCGCTGGGGAATGCCCGGTGGCCATTCCCACCGCGGCCGCGTCTGTCGCGCCAAACTATCTGGCCGCTGCGAGCGCGAGCATGCGCGGGCTAGCGCGGCCGAAGAAATGCACCAGCCGCATGGGTTTTGCAAACCAGGTTGCGGGTGTGTAGGTGGGAAGTTTGCAAGAGCGTGAGTTTTGCCACCACGTTTGTCCAATTCAATTCGCCGTTCAATATAAGTAGTATTTTTCACCCCCGAGTTCGCGACCCCCCTCGCGATATATGCAATTCGAGTGTGATTCCGTCCCCTTCTCCGTTTTTCATATGAATTCCTACCGCCCCAGCCCGGCAGGCACCGACCCATTTTCCACCCCTAATCTTCTGCAACAGGTTTTATGCGCGCGCATTCGTTCATCACGCATGAGCAGTTTTCAAGCTCCCCTGGGAAAAATGGAAACAAAGTGCACGCGTCAGCGTCGCCGCGCGCGCATGTAGATTTGTTTTGCAGAAACCGTAGGTTTGTTCGGGATTTCAGATTCGAGTGTCGCGGGGACATATGAAACAGTATGGTTTCGCAACACGGGTTTTCCAAAAAAACGCCCCGCGTTCTTCCGGACTCTTATCAAAACTACAGGTTGTTCAATATTTTCTTAAAGTGCTACCAATTGGTCTCGCGCGCGCGTGTCGGAATCGTTCGAACGCCTTTGCGCGCTCGCTGTCGCAAGCATCCATAGACTTAAAACAAACGGGCGAAGTGCACGCGCGCGCGTCGTCGCGCGCGCCCGAATTGTTCAGCACACGCTGGTTTCGCAAAGAGTTCAAAAACGAGTACCCCGACAACATAGCAACACGTGCGGTTTTACAACATCATTTTTCAGCAAATCCTGCGCCCGCGGGTCAAGCGGTTTCTCAAGAAAACCACCGGCGAAACATTTTCATCGGAGTTTGCCAAACGGCCCCTCGCGCCGCACGTCGAACTCACTCGGACGCCCATGCACGCGTGCTTGGGGGGGAGCGGGGCGCGATCCGTTTCAAATAACACCACGCGGGGAACTTGCGCGCATCGGCCACGCGCGCGCGTCGAACTTTTTCCATCGACGACACGAGGACATCGTCATCGTTATCGGCGGGCGTGATCAACAACGGCGCCATCATTGGCCTTGCCGTTGCCATCGCCACCATCGCCACCGTCATCGGTTCCCTGACAGTCGCGTCTACCGTTGTCGACGTTGACATGATGCCGCCCCCGCCCAAGTGGCCGTTTCGCGTTGAAGTGCCCGCGAGGAAGTCCACCGCGGCCGCGCCAGTCGGCACGGTGAATTTTCTCTCGCTAAGACAAATCAGGATCACCCCCCCGTGGGTTTATCGGGTCACTCATTCGCATTGAAGTTTGCATGATTCTATCCCATCGTCGACACCCCATGCACCCTTGTCAAATAATAGTATGTGCGCGCGCTCTCGCTTATCAAAAACCATCAGATTTCCAGAGTCTCATGCAACAAAGATGTGGCGAAGTGCGCACGCGCGCGTCGTCGCGCGCGCATGCCGAAATCTTTTCTTTTGTCCGAGAGCTCTGGGTCCCGTAAGGATTTCAAACCGAGTGCCCAATCAAGTACATGAAAACACATGGTGTCGCACCAAGGATTTTCAAACAACTATTGCGCGCTCTAACGAATTCTACCTGAAACCCTCGGTTGTTACACATTGTCATAACATGCAGCCAAGCGGGCTTCGCGCGCGCATGCCGGAATCGTTCAATTGCCCTTGCGCGCGCTCTGTCGCAGTACTCGTTTTCAGAAAATGGGGCGAAGTGCGCGCGCGCGTCGTCGCGCGTGCGTGCCGAAGTCTTGAAACCAAACCTTTGGTTTGCGAAGGATTCCAAATCCGAACGCGTAGAAACCACATAAAACAGGCATGGCTTCGCAACAACAGTCATCAACAAAGCTTGCGTTCGAGCTATTGCGAAACATGAAGGCAACCATCGGTGTTTGAACCTGTTCATAAAATTCAACCGCGGGCCTTTCGCGCCGCAAGCCGAAATCATTCGAACGCCTTTGCGCGCGTAATGGGTGGGGGCACGATCCGCGTCAAATACTAACGCGAGGGCCACTCGCGCGCGCCAGCCGCGCGCGCATGTCCAACTCCTTCTAAAACCTTCATCGCCGACGCGAGGACATCGTCATCGTCATCGGCGGGCGCGATCAACATCGGTGCCGTCAGTGGCCTTGCCGTCGTCAGCGCCACCATCGCTACCATCGCTACCATCATTGCTACTTTCAGAATTGTGTCTACCGTTGTCCTCATCGCCCTGATGCCGCGCCCGCCCAAGTCACCGACTCGCACTGAAGTGCCCGCTGGGAAGTGCCCACTGGTGAGCGCCACCGCGGCCGCGTCGGTCCCGCCAATTTGGCTGGCCGTTGTGCGCGCGGGCATGCGCGGGCTAGCGCGACCACAGGGATGCACCAGCCAACGCCAAGCTCTCATCGCAATCGCCGCCGCATGGGTTTTGCACACCAAGCTGCGGGTGGGTGGGTGGAGTGTTTGCAAGAGCATGGGATGTGTCAATTCGTTTGCATAAACCAGTGTGCACACACCAATTGCACCACATGGATTGCTCCACATATATTCCATAAATTTAACTGCTAGAAGCGCATTGTGTGGCGCCCACGGATAGCCAGGGGTGGTTCTGCGCCAGATGTGGTTCTCAGCTCGGCATTTGCGCAGAGCTTCCGGCATTGACGGAGGACGGGTGGGCTCGTCACTACTCAGAAGCGGAAAGGGTACCGATAGCGTTGCCCCTCCTTGGTTTTCGCCTCTTTGGGCCTCCTGGGAGGCCCTCGTCGCCACGGCTGGATTCGCATCGAAATCCTGACCACAACGCACCCGTGGAGAGGTCCTGAGAATAGCAGTATGGGTATCTTTTCGGTTCCCCCAATTGTCGCCCAGCCTGGCACGTGAAGAATTCATCGTGCGGACGGTACATCGGCAGCCTGCGCTTTACATCGAGGGATCAGCGCGACGGGGATGAGGATGATATAGAAGAGGAGGGCGGAACGATAATGGTAAATGCACAGGGGCTCGGAAAAGGAGGATTAAACGGATGATGTGAGAAGGAGTTGGAGAATGGTGACCAGGGAGAGGAGGACACGGAGGACTCCATGTTTTAAATGAGTACTATGCACGTGCTGGGTGGTACGTCACGGGCCCACCCGGATCAGCTACAATGCTGGAATCAGCGCGTGCGAGAAAGGCGGGCAACCTCAGTGGGCTTTGTCGTTGTTGAGGGAGATGTCAGCATCGAAGTCGCCACCCGACGTCGTCACCTACAGCGCTGGGATCAGCGCGTGCGGAAGCCGTGGGCTGTGGAGGGATGCGTTGTCTTCCCGATGATTCTCAAGACGGTTGTCAGCAATGTGCGTGTTGGCTCCGCTCCGCTCCAATGGTAGCGCGCAGCCTGCGCTGGCACGCCCTCACAACACCGCCCGCGTCGTATGGACGGGCCTCGGTGGACAGGTACGCGTTGGCGCTAACACACTTTTCCCGTCGCAGCGCGACAGAGGCAGTCCGCACGCGCGCTCAGCACGCGGGGTGACGGCATTGCGAATTGCCCGGATGCCAGAGGAGAAGGAGGGGAACGAGGAGCGGCCGCGGAAGGAAGGAGGGGGTGTAGCGCGCTCACGCATCGGGGACCGCAGTGGGGCGCCCGGGGCAGCCGTGCTCCACCCCTGGCAGCGGGCACGTGGCGGCATCGCGACCACACCCAGGGGCCGGGGCAGCGGCTGCGCTGCGGGGGGCCGTGGCCGTTTGCGCTAACAGACGTTCTGAGGAGCATCGGTCATTGATGGGTGAGCTTCGGGACTCGAAGTTGCAACCGAACACCATCAGCTACAACGCTGCGATCGACGCGTGCACGCACGGCGGGCGGTTCCAAGAGGCGTGCTTGCTCCTGAAGCAGCTGCAGGGAGAGAGGTTGGAGCCGGACGCTCGCAGTTACGGTGCGGCGCTTAGTTGTCTGCGGACTTACAAACGACAAGTTGCGCGGTGCGGGATCGGGACAGCAACACCTTTGGCAGCGAAAGCAGTTTCTCCATGCAGCGCGTCAGAGCAAATTGACAAGCACTTGGAAATTCATAGAAAGCAGCGGGGTGGGCGAGGGGCCATGCGCAAAGCTGGAAACTGCATAAGCATTGCGCGGGAAACGGAAGCGACAACTGTTACACACCTTCATAGATTTCCAGAACGCGAAAACCCAATGTAACCGAGTTTGAAAATCAACCACAAAAGAAACCACGAAAGGTCAAAACAGGTCTGCGGGTTGGGGGGCAAACAAAAACACGCCCTGGCCGTTCTGAGAGACCTCTGCGGCTAAGGTGCAGCGATCAGTTCCTGCGACGTGGCCGGGAAGTGGCGGGAGGCCCTGCTGCTGTTCCGGGAGCTGCTGGAGGCGAGCGTGGAGCCGAGCACACACACTCGCAACGCCGCGATGTCCGCTTGCGAGAGGGGCGGACGGTGGCAGGAGGCGCTGCTCCTTCTGGGCGAGGCCGGGCCACAGTTCCGAGGAGGAAGAGGGGTACCCCTACCGCTCCCCCTTGCTTCGTTTCCGCCTGCATAGGCCGTCTGGGAGGCCTCGTCGCCACGGCTGGATTTGCGTCGGCTCTTTATGGCCAGAGTGCACCCACTGAGAGGTCTGGGGAGTAGCAGCATCGGTCAGAGTGAGGGGGCCGAACGGTCATTCACTGTCCCTGGGTGCGTGGCTGAAGTGGAGGTCCGCGGTGCGGATTCTCGTTGTTGTTGTTGTTGTTGTTGTTGTTCTTGTTGTTGGTGTTGTTGTTGTTGTTGTTGTTGTAATTGTTGTTGTTGTTGTTTCTGCTGCTGCTGCTGCTGCTGTTGTTGCTGCTGTTGTTGTTGTTGTTGTTGTTGTTGTTGTTGTTATTGTTGTTGTTGTTTGTTGTTGTTGTTTGTTGTTGTTGTTGTTGTTGTTGTTGTTGTTGTTGTTGTTGTTGTTGTTGTTGGTTGTTGTTGTTGTTGTTGTTGTTTGTTGTTGTTGGTTGTTGTCGTCGTCCCACCCGCAACCCGCCCCGCGACCCACCCGCGACCACACCCACGACCCACCCCGCGACCCACCCCGCGACCCACCCGCGACCCACCCGCGACCCACCCCGCGCCCCACCCCGCGCCCCACCCCGCGACCCACCCCGCGACCCACCCCGCGACCCACCCCGCGACCCACCCCGCGCCCCACCCCGCGACCCACCCCGCGACCCACCCGCGACCCACCCGCGACCCGCGACACACCTTCGACCCAAACTACGTTGAAGGTACAAACCACCATTTTCGGCGCCTGCGGCGGGCTTTTTTTGCATTCCTTCCAGGGGGAGCGCCCGCGACCCACCCCGTGACCAACTCGCGACCAACCCGCGACCCAAGCCACGTTCAGGGTACAAACAACATTTTTCGGCGCCTGCGGCGGGCATCTTTTGCATTCGTTTCAGGTGGAGAGCCCGCGGCCCACCCGCGACCACGTTCAGGGTACAAGCTGCATTTTTCGTCGCCTGCGGCGGGCATCTTTTGCATTCGTTCCCGGTGGAGAACCCGCGGCTCATCCGCGACCCAAACCACGTTCAGTGTACAAACCAATTTTCGTTGGCGCCTGCGGCGGGCTGCTTTTGCATTCCTTCCAGGTGGAAGTGGAGAGCCCGCGACCCACCCACGACCTAAACCACGTTCACTGAACAAACCAATGCCGCACAAGCGCGGCGGCGGATTTTCGCATGCCGTCTGAGCACGCAAGGACCTCTTCAAGCCCCGCGCATCCACACCAGCCCGTCCAGCAACTTTGCCCTGGCGAGTTGCCTTGATCAGAGAAGGCGGGGAGCATAAAGTGGAAAAAAGACTGCGTTGCAGTTATCTTGGGAAAGGAGGGGGAGGCAGGAGGAGTAAACAGGGGACGAGGAGAACGCGGAAGAAGAGAGGATGTAAGGATAATGTGGAGAGAGAATAGGAGGAGGAGCAGGAGGACGAGGAGGGGGAGGAGGGGAAGGAGGACGAGGAGGGGGAGGAGGGGGAGGATGATGATGATGGACGACAATGGGAGGACGATGATGGAGGCCGATGAGGGGGAGGACGACAATGGGTGGACGATGATGAAAGGACGAGGGGGGGAGAGG